ATCTTCTCTCCTATCCAGACTGTGTAAATCACCTATTTCTTGTCTAAAGACCGTCTTCTTGGTCAGGATGATGAAACCATTAAGCACATGGACTCTGAAGCCACAAGGACCTGCTGTGAGGGTCCTGGTCTCCCACTTACCAGCAGGGTGACTTTGGCCAGTGACTCCTCATGTTAGAGTCCCAATTCCTCATCTGTGAAGCAGGGGATATTATAATGCCAGCTTTAAGCATTGTTACGAGGCTTAATGAGTCGTTAGAACAATATGGATATAAGGTGTGAAGATAGGATCCAAGCACAGTCCCACACTTCCCACATGTTCCCAAGAAGAACATTGTGCTTGCTGCAGGACATGCTGACAAGCTCACAATCACATTGCCTGCAAAGATCTCAGATGCAGCTCAGCAACCTTCTGCCTCAGGCACATGCAAAACTTTTTTGGAATGGCTGAGCAATGAAGCAGCAGTGGCTCTAGGTATGCCCCCAATATTCTTTATTTCAGACCCTACAGGGCAAGGGTTGGAGTCCTTCACAGCACAAAGTAGGGTAGGCACATCCACACTGCCTATCTGCTAGAATAGACCTGCTTGCCCTGGAGGCCCATGTGGTGCAAAGGGCTGGCACTTGTGCTGTTAAGTAAAAGTCGTACCACTTCAGTCCGCGGATGCATATTGTCCTCAGCGACCTTGAATAATGTACCCATCTCTTCCCTTTTGACCCTGGTAACACTTATTCTCTTCTGTGGCACAACCTGACCACTTAATGAAATACATAGAAACCGCTGAATAAATGAGAGCTAATCAGGAGCTACAACATATCTAAATGGCATCAATTGTAAGAAATGTCATTGTTTTTGAACCAATAAGGAAAAAAAATGCTTCCAGTTAAGTAGTTACATGTCATTGATTGATTCTGACTTCCGAGATTAAAATGGGAAAATAACGTGCAGTCTAGAATCCACGAAATAGAGTATTATTATTGTGTATATGAAAAAGGCACTTGTGACTTCTCTAATTAGGTTGTAAAAATGCTTCCTTATTGATGCAGAAATGAATTTAAATATCAGTATGCACGAGCTTATAAATGACATCTAATTTTAAATCCCCTCTACACTGCGTCCACACAGTCACTTTCCAGAGTCACGTACTGTCCTTTGCACATATTTCCATTTGGTGACTGACTTTCATGCTATCAGCATTTAATTTCCCTTTAGAAAGTATTTGTTTAAATAATCTCCATTATTGCGCCCATGCTCTACTGTCTATTCCTTCGATTTCCGTAGTATTTAAAGGCCAGAATCTCATGTTTAAAGTCCTGCAATAAAGATGAGTTATCAGATGCTCAGTTTGTCTTTTCATGCTAGAATTTGTTGTACATAATTATTAATTTCAGGGCTTCTGTCTTAGTTTGAGCGTTTCAGCAGAGTGGATAGTGTCCCCTACCTTCTCTTCACTTTTCCTCAGGAGCAACCCTACCAACTTCTCTTGGAGCTGCTTCTTCTCAAAAAGCGCCCCTTCGCTAATAGGGTTTTTCTGGGCAGTGGCTTTGCTATGATTAATTATCATGAACCCAAGTTGGACCTTTGGCTTTCTGGCGCTTAGCTGAGTAGCCAAGACATTTCTCTGACTGAGATAGCTGGCTTCAGTTCTAATTAATGATCAGTCGTTATCAGCTTCGTTTAGGCTTTTTGCTCTCTGACTTTTGGCTGGATAGCCTAAACACTTCCCAGATCCAAAGAGCTGGCTGAAATTTATGTTCCTTTTTTGGCACTGTCTTGATCATTCTGATGTTTTCCCGGATCTGGAAAAAGATTTTAATTGTTTACAGTCATGATTAATGGGTTTGCTATGGCTTTGATAGTCCATTATTTAGAATGATAAGAAACTAAAAAACAAATGGCTATGTTATATAGCCCTTTGGGATATTTCAGTCAATCCTTTTTAAGGAGTTACTGTTTTGTTTCCTTCTCAATTACTATTAAGTTAGTAATAATTTCATTACAATTGAACTTTAAACTATCACTATTTCTAACTCCTTTCTCCCCATGGACTCTTTCAGGCTGTAGAATTTCTTCTTGTTTCAGCAGAGTCCTTTTTCAGAGTCATCTCACTATATATCTGAAGTTAGCCACATGCTAAGACAATTTGGTATCAGCTTGCTTGCGAATGCAGAGTTCTTACCACTTTATCCTCTTTAACCTCTATCACAAAGCTCAGTGAACTTTGATTTCTTACTCTCAACTAAATAAATGAATCTCTTAGACTCCACAATCACTTTCTGGTTAATAACCACATTTGACCCAGTAACTAATCCACACTCAAACTACAACCCCAAGTTCATTTTTACCAGCAATTTTTATTTTGCACTCATAACTTGTCCTATTAAGTTCTAGTTCATGTCAGAGGTTCTTCTTGGCAGCCAGCTATTATTTATGAAGGCTGTTTCTGTTGTGAATTGGTTCATTATTAACCGAGTCTAGATGACCTCTGTTTTCCAAATACTTGATTTAGATGGAAATACATGTTTTCTCTCCTAGAACTTTTTGTGACTGGCTTCTTTGTTTCCAAAAGGAAAAGAAGAAAAAAAAAATAGAGAATTTGAAAGAGGTGATGGTGTCTATTCTTTCCTATTTCTAGTGTGATTATTGCACATCCAATTTCATATGACATTTTCTTAACAGTGACACTAAAAGACAAACTGCTTTCAATTATATTTGATGGCTTAAATCAACAAAGACCTGGTCTACTGTTTATTCATTTCTATGCTGTTGCAACTACCTATATATTTCTTGTTCGATGTTAACAGACATTTTTCATGGTAAAAAGCATCTTCTCTAAGTTTACCAATGACTTTGCTTTGAGAGAAAACCTAGTTTGGGGGAGTAATCTCATTTTTTTTCATCTCTCTACTGTAATTGATACTACTGACCCTTCACTCCTTGAACCCCTTTCCTCCCTTAGTTTGAATGACCCTACAAAGTCCCTGTTCTCTCCCTCCCTCTTCAATAATTCTCTGTCTTCTCCAAAGACCCCCCGCTTAATCCTCCCATCCTCTAATACTAGACCACCCCAACAGCTGTCCTTATTAGCCTTTGCTACTCTGTCACTACACGCCTCTGTGGGGAATGTACAGCTTCTTACAGCTTTAATCATCATTTCCATAATATGTGACTCCAATCTCTCAAACTCAGTTCTCTAGCTTGAGTTCTGGTCCACATTTTGTTTAGAAAATTTCCTCCAGGGTATCCCGTTATCATCTCACATTTCACTTTTTCACTTCCTTAACCAATATTTATTGTATGCCTGTGATATTCCCTGAAGACATAGTGATGATCAAATACTATTGCTGCCCTCCAAGAGCTGGCAACTTGGTAGAATTTAAAATAGGGGTCTATATAAAATTATTTGTCTATCAACACACACCAAAAATAACTGTCCTCCAAATCCACTTTGTTTCTCTCTTTCCCATTTTCTGTTTCCCTATTTATAATTATCCCTTCATCCTCACAATCATCCAAGTGGTAATTCTGAGACCTATTTCTTGTGAATTAGTCAGATTTCCTCCGCAATGATCTGTATAACAAGCATGCCCAAATTTTAGCAACTTGCAGGCATTTATCTCATAATTATAGATTTACCAGTCAAAAGCCATAATGACAACATCTTTGTTTGTTTTCAGGATTGCTTTGACTGTTCAGAGTCTTTTGAGTGCCCATATAGATCTTAGGATTGTTTTCTTTTTTCTTTTGTTTTCTTTTTTTTTTTTTAAATTTATTTATTTATTTATACAAGCACTGGGTACAGTCAGAAGAGCGGGAGGGTGAGAGAATTCACCAGAGCCAGAGCAGAGAACAGAACAGGCAGACCGACGAAGTGTACTGCTGAGCAGAGCAGCGGGCGGCAGGAGAGGTCTGCGCACCATGTGGGACCCTCACCAGGCGGCCACGGATCGAACCGGCGCTGCAGCGGCTGCGGGCAGCTTCATAGCCCAGCGCTCAACCGCTGCGCCACCGGGGAGGCCCTGCTTTCTTTTTTCTATAAAAAAAAGTTGCTGTTGGAATTTTGATAGGTATTCATTGAATCTATAGATTTGCAGACCTCTTAAAGCCTCTGTTTGAAATCATTCATAAGTCCAAATCCAGGAGCAGTGAGACAAGATCCCCTTTCTACCCAGGAAGTGAAGGAAAAATTGGCGAATATTTACTAAATAATCATATACTCCATATTCCTTTCCTTTATCATCATCAACAACAATCAGCTACCCAAAGAGTCTTGTTAATTTTTCTTCACTGTATCAATATCTCCTATATTTAGCACTTTCCCAGCCATTAGTCCTGAGGTTGCAGCATGCGTCTTAATACCTCACACCTCTCTCCTGAAAAAACAGAAGTTGTCTCCAAAGTGTACTGTTCTCCAAACTGTTCTCCAAAGTGTACTGTTTTACATTCCCACCAGAAATGTATGAGAGTTCTGGTTGTTCCTATCTTCACTAGCATGTGTGTTGACAATTTTCTTTCCTTTTATTAGCCTTTCCAAAAGCCTTTCTCACTTTGTCTTAATTGGCTTTTACCTAGAGACTAACAATGATGAGCATTTGGGATAGTAAATCTACTTTGGTGAAGTATCTGTCCTAATCTTTTACTGATTTTTCATTGGGTGATTTGAATTTTGAAAGTTTTGTATATATACTGGATACATGCATACATGTCAGGTAAGTTGTTTAGCAAATAAATGCTCCCAATCTGTGACTTGTCTTTTTAATTCTTTTGTGACAAGATACCTCCTTGTCTCCCACTCTATGAAAAACAATTTGCTGCTGGAATCTAAATGAAAGTTGACATGAAATGCAAGTCTATATTTTGAGAAAGGAAAGAAACAATGTAAGTAGATTAAGAACTAACTCACAATTGTGAGTTGCTTCGCCTTTTTACTTTGAATATGTTACTCACTTTACAAACTGAGCTTTAAGAAAATAAAATAATGTTTATAACTTTACCTTCAAAAGAGTTGTGCTTTGTGATTTCTGTAAGCCAGGGAAGCCATCTGCCCTTCTGCTTCCCATAATTCTTTCCCACTTTTTTTCCTCATCTCCAATTTTAATTTCATCCTTTATCTCCATGTGTGTGTTCTTGCTGATCCCTTAATGATCTGTGAGAAGTGTCTCTGTAACAAAATGCAAGGGAAAAATGCAGGAAGCTAGAGAAAGAGCAGTAGGTTCAAGTCCTGACCCTCAGGCAAAATACTGCCTAGGGAGCAGTCCTTCAAGCAGTCCTGAGACTGCTGGGTATTTATTCCTCAGGCAGCAAATGGTAACAATGCCACTGTGCCTCTCCAACACCCACCCTCCCTGTCCCAGTGTGCCAACTGTCATCTTTCTTTTACTTCCAGAGCCTTTAAACATATAATTCCTTCCACAGGAGACCTTAGCACTACTTCCCATCTTGCCTGCCTCCTTCACAACCTTGAGACTTCAGTTCAAATTCTGCCTCCTCCAAGAAACCTCCCTGACAGCCATCAAAGATCTTTGTCCCCCACACTGATTTATCTCTATAAAAAATCCTGCCTGTTTCCTTCATAGCTAACATCGCAACTGGTAATTGTCCTGTTGAGCTTCGATTTTTTTATTTTACTTTTTGTCATTTTGTCATCTTCCCACTCTTACTGAATTCTTAAGGTACGGACTGGGTCTTGTCAATTGAATTCATAGCCTCAGGGATAATACCCAGCACATAATAGGCACTCAATATACATCCCTTTACTGAATGAATGAATATATGACTACCCTCTCTGGTAATGCAACCAATGCACCAGCTCCCCTTTAAAGAGATTTCTGAGCAGCTCTTTGCTATACTGATTCCAAATTCTAGTCAGAGGTCTAAAGAGGGTACTCCAACTAGGTAGGCAGGTGGAGTATTTTCTAAGGTTAGTTACAGAGGAATTCTCCCTAAGGAACACTTAGAACAGAGGAAAGTAATCCCTGGATTATTTCCCTAACAAAGGGCATTGAGACTTGATCTCAAACTGAATCAGTGTCCAATACAGAGTTCAATTTTAGCCACTTTTATTAATCATCCTTATAAAATGACACTTAACCCATCAACAGGAAACACTGGAGGCATCATGACAACTTTATAGCAAGATGGGACACTGCTTTTAGCCCAGGATATTAGAAGAAAAACATTAATGTTAAATGTTCTTGAACAACTGCAAAAGACAGTAACTTTCCTCTTACTGAGCATATATATATACCTATATACACACATATATATACATATATACATACATATATACACAACTATGTATAAGCACTAAACTCAGACTTGACATGCAAATATATTCACTTTGCTCTTCCCCCTTTGTACTCATAGTTCATTAACCCATATTTTATAAATGTTCACAAAGTTCTGAAACTTCATATATATTTTGGTAGCTGCTGTTGGTTTTAGTTAATTAAAGCAACTGTGACTCTACTGAACATTGAGCCAGAGGTTAAGTCAGAAGGACAATAAATACAAACAGCACTTTTCTTATCCACCAGTTTTTAGTCTAGTATGAAAAATAAGATGTATATGCAATTGGAGACAGGATAATCAGTTTGTGCCATAGAAAACCAGAGACAAATGGCTGCGGGAGTTTTTAGGGAAATCGCTTCTAAATGGGGAAGGTATTCATGGAGGAAGTGTCTTTGGGGGAGTACCTGGAGATGTGATCATGAACTAGAATAAACTGAGAAGAGCCCACCGCATGAAAGAACAGAATAAAAGGGACACATGAAGGACGAGTGTTCATCTCTCTAGATAATTCAGCGTCTGAAGGAAATTCATATGAAATAGTCTTCCCTCAACTGATGAACAGATAAACAAAATGTTGAATAAACAGAATATTATTTGTCCATAAAAGGGAATAAAGTGCTCATATATAACAGGGATGAAACTTGAATGCATATGCTAATTTAAATAAGCCAGATGCATAAGATTAATATCATATGTAATGTCCAGAAAAGGCAAATTTAAGTAGACAGAAAATATATCAGTAGTTGTCTGGGCTGGAGAATGGGTGGGGACTGATGAAAGTAGACACAAAGGAACTTTTTAAGGTAAAGGAGACATTCTAAAATGTGGATTATGGTGATAATTGCACAACTCTATAAATTTACTTAAAAGCACTGAATTATTCACTTAAAACAGGTGAATATTATGGTATGTAAATCATAGTTCGATAAAGCTAGAAAACGTTAATTTAAAAAAACATAGGCAGAATTGAAATCATTATAATATACTTGAAAAAAAAATTTTTTCTGTAGCCAGACAGAAAAGCTTATTTTGTCCATTTGTATTCTACTGAAGGAAAAAGTCTACCCCTCCCCCCATCCCTAGTGAGCCCTTAGTTCTGCACTGTGTGGAGCAAAGGAAGGGGGGAGATTTTGCTGCTCAGGGGTCTTATATATGATTTTGCATCTCTTGACTAATTCCTGGTGAAATCCGGCAAGTGATAAAATCCTGGAATGGAACCTAGAAGGGCCCTCAAGGACCATCTTGTGCAAATCTTTCATGTAATTGAAGCTAGAGTGAAAGTAGAGAACCCTCTTATAGCTTATTTGCTCCAGATACCATATCTGGTGAACGGCCAGGTTATAATCTGCCCCAGGTGCCCCTAGTCCTAATCCAAAGTCCTCCATTGTGCTGCCTCTCCCATTTCCTAGTCTTTTTCACCCCCAGTTATCTTCTAAGAAAAATAAATGCAGTAAATTGTATCTGCCCCATCTGTTTCACAGGGTTATGTGAAGATCAAAAGAGATCAATGATGCGAAAAAGCTTTCAAAAAGCAGAAATCCTTTACGAATATAAAGTGCTGTTGTAGTAGTACTAAAAGGTCAGTTGCAGGTGATTCAAGCTCAGAATCCAGCCCAAAGATCTACAAGGATAAACTTCCAGGAAATGCATTCATCTGTCCTGATGGTAACATGAATCTCTGGTTATAAATAGAATCTCTCACAAGGAGGTGGCAGGGAAGTTTGAGCACCATTCCTTTAATTTTCCAGAACATTTGCTTATTCCAGAACATTATTTTCCTGCTGTCTAATTTGATGATAATGAAACTTAGTCTGTGTGCATTCAACTATGATTCTTCAAATAACAAAGATGAAAGTGAAGACTGGGTTTTGATATCTGTAGCCTAGAATTATTTATTTTAATCCCCCTCCGTTGAAAACATCCATTTCTGTAGGGAAACCATAAAGGCCCTGTGTGTCCACCAGCACCTGGAACTCCCCAAGACTGTAAACTAAGTGTATTTTGGAGTGTATTAATCTCTGCTAAAGGATTCCCTCAACCAACCTCCTTCCTTAAGCCTCCTACCTCCCACACAGTGGTGGAACTTGCTAGGAATCCCCAGCAAAATGAGAGCTCAGAAAGCCAGTCATGGTGGTTGGCCCAGGGAAAACACCAGGTGCAGAGCGCAGCACAGAATGTGATCTGGGAAAACATTTATAAATCAAGCAGGTCCCAGGGAGTAAAAGTACAAGTTAGCAAAAAATAACAACAAAGTGGCCATGAAATGTTAAATCAAACCAATCCAACAGCAAGCTAATTACTGTGACCTCTACAGAAAACCCAGGGTGAAGACTGAATGATAAGCTTGGAAAGAGCAGGAGTGGCATTGTCACCTCCCACATCTGGCTACTTTTTATGTATTGAAGGATTAGCCCTTTAACTGTGATATATGTTACAAATGTTTTTTCCCAGTTGTCATATGACTTTGTTATGATTTTTTAAATTTCCCAAGCAAATATATTTTATTTTCAGGTAGTTTGAATTATCAGTCTCTGTGTGTGTGTGTGGCACCTGGATTTTGAATTGTATTTAGAAATCATCTCTCACGCCTACATATTTTCTCCTAATGTGGGTGGGTTTCATTTTTGATCCATCTGGGGCTTATTCTTGCATATACTATGTAGTGGCCCTTAAAACATTTATTAAGAAGTCCATTTTTGCCTCAGTACTTGGAGATGCCACCTTTATCACAAACTAAATTTCCACACAGATTCCTCAACTTTCTACACATGCTGTTCTACTGGCTCACTCTCTGAGGGTCACTATCACAGCTTTTAATTACAAAGGATTTATGGTACTTTAAAGCATCTAGCTGATATCTTTTCCCATAGTGTTTTAACAACTATTCTTGCATGTTTTGTTTTTCTGTGTGAACTTAGTATCAACTTGCCTCATTTCAGAAAAAGGCTTATTGGTATTTTTGGTGGGCTGGTACTGGCTTTAGGAAGAACTCCTATCTTCATGAAATTTAATGATACTGAGTCATCTTCCTCAAGAACAGAGATGTCTTTCCATTTATTCAAGTCTACTTTAATGTCTTTCAAGAGTATTTAAAAAATTTTTTAAATATAAAACTACATTTGTTTTTTAATTTACTCTTAAGCATTGTATTTTTTGTTGCTACATTCTGTCAACTTTTTGAAGCCAAAGTGATCTAGGTACTTCTCTCCATCCAGTTCAAAGAGAAACATATTTTTCCACTCCATTTGGTTTTTCCCAGTTGCCCAGTTCACTAGGCTCTGGAGTTACTTGAGAGTTTCTCTAGTGACCATGTTGGAAGGACAAGAAACAATAAAAGTAGGTCTCCGGATTTAAGACAAGATGACATAAGACAGTGGTGAAGAGGCCTTTCAGGTCTTAGCATGAAAAAAAAAATCACATCTGTCTGGGGGCAAAGATAAGAAGTTGCAGCGTTCTCACATATTTAAAAATCTGAAATTGGATTTAACCGGCCTGTTTTTCTCAGTCAAGAAAACTCTATCAATCTTTGTGACATCTTGGACAATCTTCTAAATCCTCTTTCCTCTTCTTGGTCTGATATAATACAGTCTACTTATGAGTAATAGTATTGAGTAGATAAATCCCTTCTATAAATTCTCCTTTCTTAATATTTCCCTGATACTTTCATGATCCAAACTCCATGTGGCCACTGGAATCTCGAGCAGATAGCTGTCTCCAAGGCTATCTATAAAGCCAGGATAGAGAAAGGCCCAGTGAAAGGTGGTACACATCTCAGACAGCACATAGCTGTCAGATTTCAGACTCAGGGGTCTCGTGTTGGTTTTCTCAGGTAACTTTACTCTAGGCTAGCCAACAATCCTTTTTCCCAATGCCTCTCTTCCATGGCACTTTATTTCTTTAGCCCAAAAAGGACTGAGTGAGAAATATAAACAGATCATGCAAACAGTAAAGAAAAAGCAACTGAAGACCTACAGCAATTACTGAGTCCTGGCGGTTGGCAGGAATGGGAAGGCAAAGTCTGCCATACTATAATATCCCTTTCTCGACCAGTTTTACTCCTGAACTCCTAAACACTCTTCAAGGTCAAGCTTAGCCATCACTTTTGATACATAATTATTAATGACACCCCACTATCAAAAATATAATTGCTCCCTCATCTGTCTTCCCATTAAATTTTAAGCAAGCTTCTCTTAACATTTCAATCACATTTTATTATGAGTTGTCTCATTATTTGTTTATATCCCTGTCTACCAACAAGTTTTCAGAGGCTTAAAGGGCAAAATTGTGTTTCATTCATTTCAGTAATTTCAACATCTAGTAATTTAACTGACAGGAGGACATTTGAATTTTTTCCTTTTCACCATTTGGGATCTTTTCATCATAGCCTCAGTGGAAGTGGTGCTTATAAGTAATATCTAGCTCCATTTATCCCAAGAGATCCAAGATAGAGTTCCCTGGTGAAAGCATGGAATGTGCTCCAAACCTGTCTCCTTTTTGGCCCATTAATAAACTCCAAATTGATAAAATGGAAAATTGTTATGATAACACATCTAGGCACATTTTAGAGACATTAATTAAAATATTGCTAATTTTATATGACAAAGGCTGATGAGGAAAAAAAATGGATGACAAATAGAGCTACAGTATCTATGAATTCCCTTAATGAATTGCTAAGTGACCCAACAATATTTTTCTGCCTTTTGTCTACTATTCCATACAATGTGTGACAACTATAAAGACGGGTGAGATGACATATCAGACATATTCCCAAGATCATTCCTATGGACTGGTATGAAGACAAGGATACAAGCATATTGCAGCAATTTCAAATGCATTTACTGAACTTCCTATCTCTCTCTCCCTACCTCAAAAAAAAAAAGTGTACTGCAATATCTGGGAGTAAAATGGCAAATTTTAAGAACAACACATCCACTCTTACTAATTTGTTTTTTTAAATGCATGAAACTCAGTTCTTCATCATTACTAGTAAATTATTCCAGCATACCTCTGTTTGGACACACCAGTGTTTTGTGAAACCCAGTTGGTAAAATCCATGGCTATAATCCTGTAGGCTTAAGGCCGACCATCATCATACTGCTATGCATAGTAATTATGAAAAGGGGGTTCTGTCCAGTGTGTCACCACAATATTCTCATGAATAGTGGTGACCGAGAATGAAGCTGCATTGTCCCATAAGATGTTCTAAAGCTCAGAGTTCTGGCAAGAATGGGATGGCAAATTTAAAAGGAGAGATTAAAAAGAGTTTGGGACTATTTGTGAAGATATGGACAGGTTTAAGAGAAACCAGCAAAGATGGAAAAACATCCTGGGGCCAGCACTAACAAAGAGTTGCTACTACCTACTTGGAGGGGAGAGCTAGAGAGAACCAGAGAGAACTCAGCTATCAAATGAGGCCTACAAGATGTGGCTACTGACAATCTCTGTCCAGCAGACCGTGAGCCAGTGGAATAAATCCTTCAAGGTCTCTTGCATTATCCCATCTGTGCCTATTCAGGGGGCATAGGCCAGAAATGCAGGCCATAAAGGTCAGCCTTCTCTGAGAGCAGGGTGAGGGATGCAAAATATGCGTGGATCAACAGATGAAAACACCCTAGCTCTTTTCTTGATTCTGCACGGTAATTTTGAGCATATATTTTTTCAGTGTACCAGACAAGATTTGAGTCATTTTCTACTTGGTCTAAATATAAAAAATCAGCAAAACCAGAAACAATAAGACTCACAAGTGTGCGACCAACCCCCTTGGAAATGTACAGCTTCATCTCAAACCTAAATAAAATGAAATCTTGGCCATGCCTTTCCCAGACCAATTTAATTAACTTTGTCAGGAAAAGTTTTAAGTGCCTCACTCCATCTTCGTTTTCAGATTATCAATTAGGCAGAATGCAAAGATAAAACTTAACAACATTATACTGGGGGCCGGAGAAGGGGAAAAAACCTGAAAAGGAGAAGAAATAACATAAGGGGATTTTTTCCATCCTGTTCTTTTTTAATTCTTGTACTTACTCATTAGAACTTTGATGGCTGACAGAATTAAAAGTCCCCTGCATTCACTTTGATAACACATCTCCTGCTCCAGCTGGAATCCTTCTAGAGGAACAAGCAAGGTAAAAAGTAATTAGTGAGTTAGGGTTAGGGTCAGGAGTATACCCTCCCTATTGCACAGGTGGTGCCTTCATTTTTAGTTCAAGCTGTCTCAGCTCAAAGTTAAGAGGACTCCAAATATTGACTCTTTAATGTTGCATTTTACTGATTGTTAAAATAATGCAAGCATATTAATTTTACATAATTTGCCAAACCATATAAAGAAGAAACCAGAAGCTATGCCATGTCCTCATCTGACAGTACTAACTATTGCTAACATTTAACTCTAGTATCTTACAGTCTTTTTTCTATACCCAGATATCCCAGGGAGGCATTACAGACTGCATGCTGTTTGGCATCTTCCTTCATTATAATTACCATTATTCAACAATATCCCCTATGCCATTATATAAATTTTAGAATAATAAGATTTTAATACTGTAACACTTATGTGCTCTAACAGAATATCACAACCTGGGGGACTTAAACACCCAGCACCACTGGGTGACAGATAAACACTTACCTCCCACAGTTCTGGGGGCTGAAAATCCAAGATCAGGATACCTACATGGCTGGGTTCTGGTGAAAACTCTCTTCCTGGTTTATGGACTGCATTCTCTTCATATCCCCTCATAGTAAGATAGAAAACTCTCTTCTTATAAGTACACCAATCCCAGTTTTCCCAGCACCATTTATTGAACAAACTTTCTTTGCTCCAATGCATATTCTTTGCTCCTTTGTCAAAGATTAGTTGACCATAAATCTGTGGGTTTATTTCTGGATTTTCTATTTGATTCCTTTGGTCTGTGTGTCTGTTCTTGTTCCAATACCATGCAGTTTTGATGATTATGGCTTTGTAGTATAGTTTGAAGTCTGGGAGTGTGATGCCTCCATTCCCTTCTCTTTTTTCAGGAGAGCTTTGGCTATTCAGGGTTTTTGGTGATTCCATATGAATTTCATCAATAATTGTTCTATTTCTTTGAAGAATGACATTGAAATTTTGATTGGAATAGCATTGAATCTGTAAATTGCTTTTGGTAGGAAGGTCATTTTAATAATGTTTATTCTTCCAAGCCATGAGCAGGGGATGTCTTTCCATTTCTCTGTGTCTTCTTCTATTTCTTTTAACAGTGTTTTAGTTTTCTTCATATAGGTCCTTTACCTCTTTTGTTAGATTTATTCCCAAGTATTTGACTGTTTTTTGTTTCTATAATAAAAGGAATGTTTTCTTTTAATTTCTTCTTCTTCAGATTTTTTGTTTGTGTATAGGAAGGCTACTGACTTTTGCGTGTTGATTTTGTATCCTGCCACTTTACTGAACTGATTGATTAGTTGAATTAGTTTTTCTGTAGAGTTTTTGGGGTTCTCTAAGCTTGACTACTACCTAACACCATGCACAAAACCAACTCAAAATGGATTAAAGAACTAGACATAAGACCTGAAACCATAGGGCCTCCCCGGTGGCGCAGCAGTTGAGCGCTGGGTTGCGAAGCTGCCCGCGGCCTCCGCAGCGCCGGTTCGATCCCCGGCTGCTCCCTGGCCATCAGAGGAGGGTCCTGCATGGCACGCAGACCTCTCCTGCCACCTGCTGCTCCCCTCAGCAGTGTACTTCCATCCTTCTGCCTGCTCTGCTCCCTGCTCTGGCTCTAGTGAATTCTCTCACCCTCCCACGCTTCTGACTGCACCCAGTGCTTATATAAATAAATAAATTAATTAAAAAAAAAAGACCTGAAACCATAAAACACATAGAAGGAAATATAGGCAAAACACTACATGACATGCACCGCAAAGACATCTTTACAGACACATCACCCAAAGCAGTGATAGTGAAGGCAAAGATAAACAGCTGGGACTACATCAAATTAAAGAGCTTCTGCACAGCAAAAGAGACAATAACAAAAACAAAGAGAAACCCCACCGACTGGGAGAACATTTTTGCACACAACACTAATGATAAAGGACTGATCACAAAAATCTGCAAAGAGCTGATGAGACTCAACAACAACAAAGAAAATAATCCAGTCAAAAAATGGGCAGAAGAGCTAAAAAAAACACTTCTCTGAAGGGGAAATGCAAATGGCCAACAGGCATATGAAAAAATGTTCAACATCACTTGTAATCAGGGAAATGCAAATCAAAACTACCATGAGATACCATCTTACACCAGTGAGAATGGCACCTATTAAAAAAACTAGCAACAACAAATGTTGGCGAGGGTGTGGAGAAAAAGGAACTCTCCTGCACTGTTGGTGGGAATGCAAACTGGTCCAACCACTATGGAGAGCTGTGTGGAGATTTCTGGACCTACTAAACATAGAGCTTCCATATGATCCAGCAATTCCACTCCTAGGTATTTACCCAGAGGACACAGAAACATCAATTCCAAAGAGCACCTGCACCCCTATGTTTAGAGCAGCACTGTTTACAATAGCTAAGCTTTGGAAACCACCCAAATGCCCAAAAATAGATGACTGGATCAAGAAGATGTGGTACATATACACCATGGAATATTACTCAGCATTCAAAAAAGATAAACACATGCAATTTGCAGCAACATGGATGGCGCTGGAAGGGATCATGCTCAGCGAAATAAGCCAGAAAGAAAAAGAAAAATACCAGATGGTCTCACTCATAGCAGGAATCTAGAAAACTTAAATAAGGGACCAGGAAAAGAATAACTATAAGAAAGAAAATATCAAAATCAACAACCAACTATGAACCAGAGACACTCTATGGGAGGTGGGGGGCGGGGAAAAAAGGGATTGGGTCAAAATAAGGGGGTTGTAATTGTATGGGGAATATAAAAATAAATTTTAAATTAAAAAAAAAAGTACACCAATCCCATACTGGGGGCTCCACTCTCATGACCTAATTAGCGCCCTCCTTAACGGCCTCCTCCAGATACTATTCTTATTGGGGGTTACGGTTCAATATATGAATTGGGGATGAGAAAGACACAAACATGCAGCCAATAACAGATGGTTACACTTCAATGTGTTTAAACATTCCCCAATTATTGAACATTAGGGTTTTCCAATTTTCCTTATTACAAATAAGATTGCTGTGAACACCTTCAGTCATGAATGTTTAAATCTATGGCAGATACATTAGAACAAATTTCTTGAAGCGGAGTTACAAAGTTCAAGTTTCACTTTAGATCTTGCCAAATTAGGAACCAAAAAGTTTATACTAATTTATGTTCACACCCACAGGCTGTAAGTCCCATTTTTATGGAACCTGGCTGACAGTGAGGTCTAAAATTTATTTTTCTCTCTCAATAGCATTTTGTTGTTTTTTTGTTTTTGGTTTTTTTTTTTTTTTTTTTTTTTGCTGACCTACCTTTGTTCTGCAAAGGTGAACATTTTTTCACACGTTGTAGAACATTTAACTCCCCTTCTTTGTGAATTGTCTGTTCCTGCAGTTTGGCTGCTCAACTTTCTTCTACACTTTTGTTCCTCTCCAGAGGATCACAAAACTTTGTACAACTTTATCCCAATTCATTAAGTGTTTTCAGATGGTTGGTTGCTTTTAACAGAGTGAGTTGATTCCAAAAATGTCATTTCACTTTAGTTTTTGACAGAGAAAGGCTGTATGTTCAGTTGAATGCTGCCCAGATTGTTTTCCAAAACCATAACTAAAGTTATCTTAATTGTCTCTCTGAATATATGAAAATCCACAGTAGCCTGCAGTTTTCAGTTCATAAATACAAAGCTCTTGGAAATGTGTTTCTTTTGCAGGCCTCTCTAGGCCTAATTAGGACTATATGATCCTTTTTAGGTATTGGGAAGAGGGAGGGAAAAAGAGTTGTGGCAGGCCTAGGCCTTTTGACATGAATTCTCAACTTGATATGAAGCCCAGAAATGTTACTACAAATGTGTGTTTGCGTGCCTGACGGCTTCCCTACTGTTTCCATGGAAGGTGATGATGAGATTATTTCTACACTTGGGCACACCTAGCAGTGAATGGTTTCTAGAAGTTAGTGATCCCGAAGGAGGCAGAAGGGAGCAAGAGGGAGTTAAGTGCATAGAATCAATTTCCACTGCAAGTTGACCAGTGATAGCAGGTAGTTTCAGTTCAGTGCTTTCCATTTTACAAAACACTTTCTCATACAGAATCTCATTTGACACGACAACGTATAGGTTGTTTGATACTATCACCCTCATTTTGTAGAGATGGTTAAATGATTTGCTCAGTCATACAATTAGTAAGTGTTAGTCAAAGCTCACACTCCCAGCTTCTAACTATAATACTCCAATTGTATTCTCCAGTCACCCCGGCACTTGGTTAACTGAGCACTCTTTAGAAATGTCACAAGAGCATAGAACAAGAATAGAAAAAAAAATAACAAGAAAGAAGAAAAGAAAGGGAGGGAGGTATCGAGAGAGACTGGCCACATACAACTTTGGTTACCATCTTACTCAGTGGGCTAGAGAAAAGGAAAGATCAGTGGATATAATCTTTTCAATGATCTTGGTCATTAGGTCTCATTATAAGCTACTCCCTGTGGCCTGTTGAAGATGTAGACATTTCTTTCTTTGCTGGCAATCCTTTTACAACACTGCAGTCATTGTTGACTCTACAAAATGTCATAGGATTTGTTCAGGCCAAAGCAAGCAGGCAGATGGCTAGGCTGGGGTCACTGTGCTGCCATGAATGTACACTCCTCCTGCGAGAGTCCACTAGGCCCTTCTCATCCATATCAGATTTGCCAAATTTGAGGTTTCTGAGACTGAAAACAAATCTAGGAGGATATTTTTGCTGATCTTTGGGGCAGTGGTAGCCCCAATAGTGGATTTAAGAATACTCTCTCACAACTTTGGCCTTTTCACTGAGTACCTGGATGAAGATAGGAAACATTTTTCCTTAACATCTATGTATACACCTACACAGATTACTAAGCATGGCTAAGCTTCCTGAGAGAAAAGGCATTTAGACTGTAACCTCTGTCCTAATTACCAGGAATATGCAAAACAACATGCCAGTCTCAGCCCCACTGACACCAGATTATGAGATAATAAAATACCATGTGGTTTCTATTCAAAAAAAAACTCACGCAGAATATCAGAGTCCTCATTCAAACTTCCAAAGAAAGAAAGAAAGAAAAAAACCTAAGTGTTTGGAGGCTTCTGAATAAGGCAATACTGAAGCCCACCATAGTCACCCAGAAATGGGCCTTTGCCCCAGGTCATTTCTGTGAGTGTGCAATTATTGAGGGGATAATTGGGGGCACTTTGGGACACAGGACATTGGGAGGCTTTCCTCTGGTCACCACTTGCCTGAGAACTGTGTAAGCATGAGAGGGTCCTGGTATAGCCCTTTTAAAGGACTGATAAACTATCTCAGTGCTGTGATGATCAAGGAAGCACAACTCGACCTCAGGTAGAAATGAGAAAGACATTTGGGCAGCTCTGTCACAAATGTGGGACTGCACAATTCCCTGTTCCTCCTCCTCCTATATGTTCTGCCCTGGAGAACGGCATCACCATCCTTTAAGAAAAGCCTCCAAGGTGATGATGGAATAGGGACTAGAGCCCAGGCTTCCCATGTGGTTTCCACGATGCCATCCCACTGTTGCCTAATGACCAGTAAATTTTACTAGCTCTGAGCAAAATATTTGCAAAATGGAGTTTGCAGAATTTGACTCTCCCATTGTATGAGTCTAATAAACAGAAAAATATCTTTACGTAAGGCATTTCTACACCATCAAATAGCAAGGTCTACCTTATGAATTCACACGTCCCCATTTTCTAATCCACAGCATGGAAGCTGAGCCACATCACAGCATGCAGGGACAGAGTGTAACACTCACACTTTAATAGGACATTCATTAGTCAAGGAGGTAATGACACTGAGCAAACCCGTGGAAACGGGAATGCCGAGTTGATGTTTATGACTGTAGGACGTACAAAAACAGACACATGGGGAGAAACAATAACAGGGTTTATTTATTTTTTTAAGATTTATTTTTATTTATTTATACAAGCACTGGGTACAGTCAGAAGCAGGGAAGGGTAAGAGAATTCACCAGAGCCAGAGCGGGGAGCAGAGCAGGCAGAAGGACCGAAGTGCACTGCTGAGGGGAGCAGCGGGCGGCAGGAGAGGTCTGCGCGCCATGCGGGACCCTCCTCCGGTGGCCGGGGAGCAGCCGGGGATCGAACCGGCGCTGCAGAGGCTGCGGGCAGCTTCGCAACCCAGCGCTCAACCGCTGCGCCACCAGGGAGGCCCAATAACAGGGTTTATTAATGGGGAATGGGGAGGGGAAAAGAAAGAGGGAGAGAGAGACACAGAGAGATTCTCTTACCCTGGCAGTGTTGGTTGTTCAGAGTCTGGAGTCCAAGCAGTAGCCTGTCTTGGCAAGATGGCAGCAGGACCCGCAGTAGAGGAAGCAGCAGCCAGCCATGGGCCCCGGGAGAGAGGCTGATGCCAGCTGCACACTAGGAGAAAGAGGCAGGAGGTACATGGAGAGGGCCGGCCGGCGAGGGCATTGTCCGTGCCAGGAGCCAGTGCAGTGAGGCACAGCAGGCTGGGGCATCTGAGGAAAATGTGGCAAACGGGCCTGACACATGGCAGGAGTGGGGCAGCCTGGGCAGTGGGCCTTGGGAGAGGAGACCTTATAGCGGCAGGGACTAGGCCTGGCTTCCTCCACCAGAAGTCAAGGGAAGCAGAAGGCGAGTGTAGGGTAAGGTAAAAGGTATCAGGCTTTTCTGGCCTCCTGCCATCAGGATAGACGACGGAACCCCGCGGTCCTGAACGCATGCCTGATGGCGGGCACCTGAAGATGGGATCCACCTGGGCTAAGACTGGGCTTTTAAGGGCGGCATCACAGGGGACGCCCCCAGAAGCAGAGAAGCAGAAGCAGAGAAGTCGAAAGAAGAGAAGCAGAAGCAGAGAAGCCGAGAAGAGAAGCAGAAGCAGAGAAGCCGAGAAGAGAAGCAGAAGCAGAGAAGCTGAGAGAAGAAGCAGAGAAGCAGAGAGAACGCCAGAGAGCCCAGAGAGAGTGAGGATTGGCTGGGGGCTGGGAGGACTGCCAGCCTCCGGGCCCCCCAGCACCCTTGCCTGCCATGTGCCTGGTAAATCTAAATAAAAGACCTGCAAAAGCCACTGAGGACTCTGACTCCTCCTTGACCCAGTCTGCTGGATCAGAAAACCTGCACTGTAGCCCGTCCTGCCCCTACAGCGAGCGAGAGGGAGAGCTGGCCACCGGTGTTCCCACTTGTAAGCTCCCAAGGCCGCTGGCTCCGCCCTCCTGCCAGTAGCCCCCTCACTCGGGATGTTGGGGGTGGGTTGGGGCCACAGTGCCCAGAGGCAGGCAGCATGGCCTGGCCCAATCCTCCCACCATAAGACAGCACGGATGGGCATCCTTTGCTCACCTAACGTTCCAATGTTCCAGCAAATGCCTCCAAAGAACTGTGCAGGTCATGGTCCGCTCCATTAACTGGTCACTCTCTGGCATGTTATGGTCAGTGCTGTCTGAGGACACCATGGCTGTTTTGTTCGGAAGTACTAGTTATTCACTCAATTGTGTCTGTTTCCCATTCTTCCTAATAAAAATAAAATAACCTCTGTAGACAAATAACAATTTCTTTTTCAGATTTAAAAATGCCTCTCCAGACATTCAAAAGCAACTGACATATTTATGATCATTTTCCAAAATTACATAAAATTGACATTGGGTGGTTTAAACTCTTAAAATTCAAAGATCACATAAAATCGAAAGGGAACTGGGAAATTTAGATTTATAGTCACGCCACATATTAGCCACAGGTGAAACCAGCTATGTTCTAGGTTCCCACATCTCTTTACTGAGGAACAGGGATTGCACTAGGCTTTTCAATTAGGTGACTTAATTGATCCCACATCCCTCCTCTCACCTTTTTAAGACTATTTTATTTAAGCTTCTGAACTTGCAATGCCATGGAGATATGATTCATACAGTAGCTCAGAAAGTGTGCTGACCGCGAAAATTAGAAAAGCAATCTCTTGGTTATCTATTAAGTAATTTTTATAACTAGTCACTGTATATACCAACTTGATGATTACCATTTTTTCCAAGTAATTCTAGTTATAGGGTTTTTTTAAACTTATTTTTATTTATTTATTTATGTATTTATGTATTTATGTATTTATTTATACAAGCACTGGGTAGAGTCAGAAGCACGGGAGGGCGAGAGAATTCACCAGAGCCAGAGTGGGGAGCAGAGCAGGTAGACTGACGAAATACACTGCTGAGGGGAGCAGCGGGTGGCAGGAGAGGTCTGCGCGCCATGCGGGACCCTCCTCCAGTGGCCGGGGAGCAGCCAGGGATCGAACCAGTGCTGCCGAGGCTGCGGGCAGCTTCGCAACCCAGCGCTCAGTCGCTGCGCCACCGGGGAGGCCCCAATTCTAGTTATAGGGTTTAAAAAAACAACTTAGGGCGCAAGGGGTTAAGGCACAACCTATGAAGCTGTCTGCAGCCTCTGCAGCATGAGTTCGATCCCCGGCAGGCCAGAGAGCAACCCACATGGCGCGCAGACCTCTCCTGACTCTCCTGCTGCTCCCCTTAGCAGTGTACTTCGGTCAATCCGCCTGGTCTGTTTCCCACTCTGTCTCTGGTGAATCCTCTCACCCCCCCCCACCTCTGTCCTGTACCCCAGCTCTTGTATGCATAAATAAATAAATCCTTAAACAAAAACTTATTCTGTATTCATCATAATTATACTCATTATTCTGAATTAAGTGTTTATGGGGAGGAAAAGAAAGGGAAAAGGACATTTTATCAGTCCAAAAAGTGTGGTTGATTTCTTGGGAATCAATCAAAAATATTTTACAAATATTTTTAATTTGTGAAAATCAGGGAAAATTTTAAGTTTTTCTCATTCCCTATTAACCTGCTCATCTGTAACCAAAGAGTCCTATTCAAGTTTCACTTCATCCAGCAGGGAAAAGATATATATTTCAAGTCTTCTGACATTATTTGGCCAAAAAATATAGCACACCTCTACAAACTTTTTTAAATTCTGGGTAACTCACAAGTAATGCAATATTTCTACCTAATGACTCAGGCAACCTGTAAACAAAACCACAACAAAGGAACATATTTCAAAGATTCATCAGCAAGTCAGTTACAAGAAATGTAGAACACATTTTCCCAAAGACTCGATCTTATTTGTGGTGAATAGATTCCTAAGCCAATCCCCTAAGGCTCCTTTATCCATGAGAAAGTACATTTTGATATGACTAATAGCTCCCAAATTGTCAGGGGCTCATAAGCCAGGGCCCCCTACCATAGTAGTTAAAACCCAAGTCCATCATTAATCAGATGAGTGATCTCAGTTTACTTTTCTAGCAAATGGACCTACTGGTACCTACATTTTGAAGAAATAAATGAAATAAAGTAAGCAAAGCACTGATACAGGACTTGGCACAGAATAAATACTGATAATGACTACCATAGAGATTTTTGAGTTGTAGGCTCCTCTGAATCCAAATTAAAGTCTAAGAAGTTTCTTGTACCGAGAATGTGTTCACTTTATATTTATTGAGAAAATGGATAGTGAAACGCATGTAACATGCATGGGTGTATAGTTTCCTAGGACTGCCATAACAGTACCGCTTGCTTAAACAACAGAACTTTATTGTTTTAGAGTTTTGGAGGCAAGAAATATGAAATTGAAGTGTCAGCAGAGTTGGTTCCTTCTGCGGGTAGCAAGAATCTATTAAATGCCTCTCTCCCAGCTCCAGGTAGCCTTCCTTGACTGTACCTGGCATTTTTCCTGTATCTTCACTCTGCTTATCTGCCTCTCTGTCTAAGTTCCTGATCCCCACCCTTTTTATTTATTTTTTTTAAGATTTATTTATTTATACAAGCACTGGGGTACAGGCCAGAGGTGCAGGAGGGTGAAAGGATTCACCGGAGACAGAGCAGGGAGCAGAACAGGCAGAAGGACCAAAGTACACTGCTGTGGGAACAGTGGGCGAAACAGGAGAGGTCGGCCTCGCCACGTGGGAATCTCCCTGGCCGGCCGGGAATCGAACCCGTGCTACAGAGGCTGCGGACAGCTTCACAGCGCTGCACTCAACCCACCGAACCACCAGGGGAGGCCCCCTTTTTTTTCAAATATAAGGACAAAGTCTTATTCCATAAGGGCCTAACATAAAGTCCTCATTGTAACTTGATCTCCCATAAAGACCCAGATTCCCAATAAGGTCACATCCACAGGTATTGAAGTTTGAACTTCAGTATCTTCTTTAGGAGACATGATTCAATTTAGCCGTAACAGTGAGTAAGTGGAAAATGTCACTGAGCATCTCCCAGTGAAATGTTGGGACAGACTTCACCAAGGAGTGGGTGAGGAAGTCTCAACATCTTGAGGTCCTTGGAAAAGGGAGCTCCCATGTTTCACCACCGCTGTTGGGGAAAGCAGCAGCCCTGAGGGTTGTCAAAATGCAGCGGGGGTAAACCCAGGAACTGTCTGCACTTCTCGAAGGCAAGGCAAGTCACCCTTCATTTTCACTTCACCTGGTTTCGGGTCATTAGATTGCCTCCCGTCCTGAGCTACATAAGCATCTTAAGAAACTCATTATTCTTACTGGCTTTTGGGGTCATGAATGGATCATTGTCTTACTGAACTCCTAGCCATGGTTTTGCAACACCTGGGGTCTCATCAATTTCTCAAAACTCCTCAAAGTGAAATGATTTTTATATCCAGTTAAATGTTTAAAACAAGCACGAGCCTCACAGCACTTTCAGAGGATGAGGTCATCACGAACACTAACAAATGACATGAGGGCATCCCAGCGCTCCCTAAGTTGGGAATCATGGTGCTCAATAGCACGCCTGACCTCTGGAAGGAAAACCAACTCCCTCTGGTGACTAATTTACAACCAGAAAGAAACGTCTCCACTGGGAGCCTGTGGATCAACACAGTTCCTTCTTGGTGTTCTCCCAGGGCGGTAGTGAACCAGGCAGGGGGTGAGTTAGGGTCACTCTTCCTGTGCAGAATGCCCCCCAGGCTCCAGCAGGGGGCTGTGGAAGGGGATGCTTTTCTAAAATGGCTCAATTACTCAGGATAATGCTTGGAATCTCCAAACAGTTTCAAGCAATATTGTTAAGACAAAAGTTCAGGCCTCGAACAATCCAGGAGATAACGAGGCCATGGGCAATGGTTGCCCAGCAATGCCGAGAGGAGGAATGAGTTCTCGGCCTGACTCGCTTTTCTCTCTGCCCTCTTGGTCTCCCTTCATCCTTTCGGGTCAGCTAAAGTGTGTCAGTGACACCTTCCATGACTGTCCCCATCTTCATTACTTTTTATCACCTCATCCTAGTCAGTCCCTTCATTGCTCTACCAATACCAGGTACAATCGAATTTGTATACATTTATTTCCTATTTATTTATAGTATGGTTTTTCTTACATCACTGGTAATTTTTGTAGAATACTTGGTTTCTCCTCTCAGGTGTAGTCCCCACTGTTCTCCCACCACTACAGCACCCCTGATCCATGCCCACGGTCCCTTGTGCTCTCCCTCCCCTGTGCTGACTCCTCTCCTATGCCCTCTCCTGCTATATGCCTCAGATCTACTGTCACTTGCAAGTTTTGTCTTTTCCTGACCCTTTGTTTGGTTTCTCTATATTCCACATATAAGTGAAATCATTTAATATTTATCTATTTCTGTCTCACTTATTTCACTTAGCATGAGTTTATCGTTTTGATCACTGAGTAGTATTCCACTGTGTATATATATATATACATCTTTTTTTAAATAAATTTTATTTTTATATTCCCCATACAATTGCAACCCCATTATTTTGACCCCAATCCCTCCCCTCCCCACCCCCCATCCCCCATAGAGTGTCTTTTGTTCATAGTTGTTTGTTGATTTTGATATTTTCTTTCTTATAGTTATTCTTTTTCCTGGTCCCTTATTTAAGTTTTCTAGATTCCTGCTATGAGTGAGACTATCTGTTATTTTTCTTTTTCTTTCTGGCTTATTTCGCTGAGCATGATCCCTTCCAGCGCCATCCATGTTGCTGCAAATTGCATGTGTTTATCTTTTTTGAATGCTGAGTAATATTCCATGGTGTATATGTACCACATCTTCTTGATCCAGTCATCTATTTTTGGGCATTTGGGTTGTTTCCAAAGCTTAGCTATTGTAAACAGTATACCACATCTTCTTAATGCATTCATCTGTTTTGGGGCATACAGGTTGTTTGCCTATCTCAGCTATTTAAATAGTGTTGCCATCAACACAGGGAGTGCAGGCTTCCTTTTCAAATTAGTGTTTTTGTGTCTTTTGGGTATATTCCTAAGAGCAGAATTGCCGGGTCATATAGTAGATGCATTTTTAGTGTTTTGAGGACTGCCACATAGTTTTCCATAGTGGCTGGACCAGTGTACATTCCCACCAGCATTTTTATCATAGAGTTGATTTTTGTGTATATATGAGAGTTCGTTTTTCACCACATCCTCACCAGCATTTGTTGTCTCTATTGTTTTTTTTTTTTAATACAGTATCTCATTGTGGTTTTGATTCACATTTCCCTGACAGTAAGTGTTGTTGAATATTTTTTCACATGCCTGTTGGCCATTTCTTCTTCTTTTCACATGCCTGTTGGCATTTCTTCTTTGGAGAAGTGTCCTTTTTGCTCTTCTCCCATTTTTTGATTAGGTTGTTTGCTTTGTTTTTGTTGCATTGTGTAAGCTCTTTGTAGATCTTTGCTATCAGTCCCTTATGCAATGTATGGTGTGCAAATATTTTCTCCCATCCAGTAGGGTGTCTCTTCATTTTAGTTGCTGTCTCTTTTTCTGCACAGGAACTTTTTAGTTTGATGCAGTCCCAGCTGTTTATATTCTCCTTTGTTTTCTTTGCTTCAAAGATGTTTCTGAGGTGTATGTTATAGAATGTTTTGCCTATGATTTCTTCTATGTAGTTTATGGTTTCAGGTCTTACATCCAAATCTTTAATCCATTTTGAGTTGATTTTTGTGCATATGTGAGGTAGTGGTCTAGTTGCATTCTTTTACATGTGTCAGTCTAGTTTCCCCAGCACCATTTATTGAAGAGGCTTTTCTTCTTTCAGTGTATATTCTTTGCTCCTTTATCATAGAGTAGTTGACCATATATGTGTAGCTTTATTGCTGGGCTTTCAATCTGATTCCCTTGGTTTGTGTGTCTGTTTTTGTTCCAGTATACCAGGTAGTAGAATTATGGATCGGGAGCTCTAATACTTGTCTGTAATTATTTTATTGCTGTACTTAGTCCATCCTCTCCATATGAATATAAGCTTTGGAAGACCAAAAGCCTTGCTCATTCTCTTTTCTGTTGTGGCCCCCATGTCTGATACCATGCCTGGTGAAGAGTAGATGTTCAATAAATATGTGTTGACTAATACTCTAAATGTCAAGCAGGTGAACCTATATCCTCAGAGTCTGTGTTCAAGGTGCAGTACATATGGTAGGCTGCATTGAGCAATAAAATATTGTCTACAAAATATTACCTTCCTGAATATTCACTCTGGCCTAAATAAACAGAAGGAGCCCTGAGGAATTATCCTGCAAGGCTGATTTAGTAGAATCATTGGCACTTGTGTAAAATTTTGGAGAATAATGTCTTAAGCACAGATGCTATTTTTAAGAACTTAACACCAGGAAAAACCTTCTGGGGCTAGCTCTGTGGGAATGAGGCCCTTTTTATGTCATGGGTGATGTATGAACTGATGGCTCATGAAAGGTGAAGCTCAGACTAAGTTATCAGACTTTTTCCTTCTGAGTTATAGCTCAGCAAGCAGACTTGACCGATTACAGTCACCGACAAGAGCTGAGCAGTCTGGGGGCTTGTTTATATTACCAAAGAAAAGTGACAATATGGCCCAATTTAGTGCCTACAGCCCAGCATAACTAAACAAATTCTCTTTCCAATCCAAGCTGAGCCTCACATAAGCCAAGCGGAATTTATGGAAAACAAATGCCAAACAGTCCATCCATCTACAGTGCTCGTTTTGGGGCCAAATTACTTAAAGCCAAAAATTAGGAACATGGCGATGCTGAAGAAGAAATGTCCTCAGATGGTATTACTGGATTTGTGGCATCTGGAGCATGTGCGCTGGGCTTGACTATCTACAATAGTAGGGGAAGTTCACAGGGTCACTCAGAACCACCTAACCAGTACCCATCTCACAGAGGCCGAGAGACTCAATAACTCAGCATCCAGGACGGCTTCTGCTCAGTTGTGGACTTTTAATGACAACATTCATCACTGAGTTAAGGGTTTCAAGGACAAAGATCTTCTAGAAAAGGCAAGTTTACCTGCTCTGTGGGCAGGTCCAGAGATGGGGCTCCACTAGACCATAGAGACACGACTTCCTCCCCCGAGAGTAAAAATAAATACTTGAGGGAAAGAAACTGCACAAAAAGATTTAGAACTTTTTTACTGCTATAACTTCTATGTTAAAGAGAGTGGGAAAAGTTCCAATGAAATCTGCCTCCCATCCTTTCACAGAAATAAATTGCATTTGCTCCCAAATGGAGTAGCATTTCTGCATCCATCTCCACTCAGGGTTTCTTAACCTTTGTGGGAAGGGAGGGTGCTGGAGCCTGTGAATTCTGTGGACTCCTTAACTAGAGAAATGTACAATAATTTCAGGGGTTCATATATCCACTGAACCACTCATGACCCACTGACAATCCCTTTATTATCGGAACAAAAGTATCCAGTTGTTGGGTCAAACTGAAGGATATTGTCAAGAAGCAATTTTTTTTTAAAGATTTATTTATTTATTCATACAAGCACTGGGTATAGTCAGAAGAGCAGGAGGGTGAGAGAATTCACCAGGGTCAGAGGGGAGAGCAGAACAGGCAGACTGACTAAGTACACTGCTGAGGGGAGCAGCGGGCGGCAGGAGAGGTCTGTGCGCCATGTGGGACCCTCACCCAGTGGCCGGGGATCTTACTGGCGCTGCAGAGGCTGCGGGCAGCTTCACAACCCAGCGCTCAACCGCTGCGCCACTGGGGAGGCCCTCAAGAAGCAATTTTTACAGAGAAAAAGATGAGAGGAGAGAAGAGAGACTTCAGTGGCACTGTCCTTCTCAAAACCCAAGTTCCCAAGTTCCAATAAAAAGGTTACGCATATGGGCCTCCCCGGTGGCGCAGCCAGCGGTTGAGCGCTGGGTTGCAAAGCTGCCTGCAGCCTCTGCAGTGCTGGTTCGATCCCTGGCTGCTCCCTGGCCACCGGAGGAGGGTCCTACATGGCGCGCAGACCTCTCCTGCCGCCTGCTGCTCCCCTCAGCAGTGTACCTTGGTCCTTCTGCCTGCTCTGCTCAGTTCTCTCACCCTCCCGCGCTTCTGACTGTACCCAGTGCTTGTATAAATAAATAATCTTTTTTTTTTAAAAAAAGGTTATGCATATGGCACTGACTCACAGGAGTGACTTTGACAGAAGTAGCACTGGGAATACTCCCCCACTCACGTGACTGATGGGGTTTGGTCACTATGTCCCCTGTCCCTCCTTCTTCAATTATAAGTGATTTCACAAGAATATGGATAAACATAATAGTCATGATAGATACAACAGATACCAGGATGGTGTTTTCCACTATAAACTTTCAAAGTTGGATTTCATTGCAGTTCGATATCATTGCAGGTTTGCCCTGCTATCCAAAAGTATAACATTCCTACAAGGCATGAATTGGTAGATAATTTTTTGAGCCTAAGAGTGTTATTGCAACTTGCTTCTATGAAAAAATTTTTTGATTATTCCCAGGCCCTCTCCCACCTCCTCCCAAAAAAGATTACTAAATTGTACCAAATAGGAACATTCTACTTTTGAATAATGGGGGGGAACCTATATTGCTATTTTACAGATGAAACTATAGACTACAGAAATGGAGAAAACTAGTATTTTTAGCAGCCTCTATATTTATTGTTTCATAAGACTGTCCTGAGGGATATTTATAAATATACAATTTTAGTAATGAGAAAACTGAATTTAGAAAGTTTAGGTGACATAGCAAGTGACAGTGCTAGGAGTGGAACCCATTAAGTCACTGGCGCTGATGCCCCTAATCTTTCAGCTGTGTCACCTACATAGGGGTCTGGCCTTCTGCTCTTCTGGAAATGTTCCCATTCTAGAGAACACCTCCAGATCCCCCACCTTCATATTGTACAGCCATTGGGAATGTCACCTCTCCCAGTTGACAATCTAATCACCACATCAGTCATATACTTACACAAGGTTGCACAGCTAAGCCTCTATCTCCAAACCTTGTGCTGTCTCCATTATATCACTCAGCATCTGTAAGAAATTGAGGTATCCTTTGGATCAGGCATTAATCCCTTTAATGGGTATCAACAGTGTATCTGCCAGCTGGGTGTTCATGTTTTAGGTCTGTGCTAGTCTCCACACCATGCAATCACATGCATGCACACTATGCAGACACAACGCACCAGCTCCAAGACGCTTGGGTATTTGCACCCCCAAAATTTAACCAAGTTAAAATATGCTGGCACCTTATTTCTCAGGAGGAGGACTTACGAGTGTGCTGAGTTCAGAAAATCAAGCTTTCAAGTGCTCAAATGGTGGCTGTTATGCAATGCCCAGGGGACATGTCAGATGGCACTTAAAGACTGAGCCACAGAAGAACTTCTGCCAGACCTTCCAAGTCATTGCTGTATATATTATCTGGTGCCTCATGGGGAAGAGAAAAAGAGCGTGTGTTTAGGAGAACAGATTTGACAACAGATCACCTGGCTCCACTTCTTACAAGCTGGGTTATTACTTCAGCAAGTTACTTAACCTCTCTGTAACTCAGATTCCTCATTTACACACTGAAACAGTTAGCTCATAAGACTGTTCAGAGGATCATAGGAGTTAACATTTGTCAAGCACTTAGAAAAGGGTCTGGCACATAGTAGGTGGTAGGGAAGTGTTGGTTAAATAACATATTCATTAACCTGGGAGAAGCACCTAAAGTTGTATGAAAATCTTTTACTCTTGGGCTTCAATCTACTGTCAAGAACACACTTCAGTCCTTGAGAGCTGTAAAGGGCAATATCTAGAACCTGGCACCCACAGAAGCAGAGGTTGTAAAGTGACATTCTCAGGCCTCCTAAAAGGTGGGGAAGTTCACCTTTCCTATAGGCCAATCAGTCAGCTCCAATCTCAGCCCCACTGGAATATTCCAAGCAGTTGGTTCATCTAAGGCATCATCCCACTGTAGGCCCCACAAAGTACAGCTGGAAGGAAAATTGAGGAGATTCAAGCCCTTAAGGCCTTTAAAGTGTGGTTCCAGGGACTGCTGAGAGGCCTGGTTGGTTCGGGGGCCCCTTATGGGGCCCATGGAAGGCCAAGCTGAGGGCACGGCCTTTCGCAGAAGCTTTGTGTCCTCCCTCAGCACATCTGCTTGTTATCTCGTTGACAGGTCTTATCCCAAGAAGGGTCATGACAACCTGTAGGAGTGCTCAGCCTCCACATTTGGGTAGTAAAGGGGCATTTCTACACTTTTGCCAGAAAAGGTCACTGCCTTAAATTAACAACTTCTCAAACCCCTCCCCCACCTCAACTCACCACTCTGGAAAACTGCTGGACTGTGAAGCTTGGAGTCTGAGCTGGTTCTGACTGGACTAGAATCCAGGAGGAAAAAGAGAACCATTCTTTCCTATGAATGTGCACAGGTCACGGTCACGAGCCAAAGAATTTTTCAAATTGAGTTTGACACCAGCCACCAGGAACCAAAGTGAATCTTCTCAGGCATGACCCCAGGTTTGTACCCTGCCTCCTGGCAGCCCAGCAACAGGGGAAAGAAAAGGCAAATAACTCCTTCCAAACTTCCTCGATCTCATGGATGCAGCTTCCAGAGCTTTTCTGTAGGGCTCACTTTTTTTCTTTTTCCTTTTCCAGCTTTTTCATTTTCCAGCTAGTCGTGGAGCTGGAATCTGAACCCACACAAGGATCATCCTCTTGTTCTTTAACTGTGGTAAAATACACAGCATGTATTTGAACATTTTGACCGTTTCGAGTGCAGTTCTGTGACATTAGGCGCATTCATATTGTAGAACCACCCCCAACATCCTTCTCCAGATCGCTTTTCATCTTTCCCCAGCAGAAACTCTATACCCATTAAATAATAACTTTCCATTCCTTCCCCGCAGGCAATCACCATTCTGCCTTCTGTCTCTATGAATTTAACTACTATAGCCGTGTATCTCATGTAAGTGGAAAAAGCATACAATATTTCCTTCTGTGACTGATTTTACTTAGCACAATATCCTCAAGGTTCATTCATGTTGCAATACATGTCAGTATATCTTTCCTTTTTAAGGTTGAATAATATTCCACTGTGTACAGTTGACCCTCCCTATATATCTGTGGGTTCAGCATCCTTGAATTCAACCAACTTCCAATTAAATACACATACAGTGTAGTTAGGCCTACTGTGTGGATGTGTCTGTTGTGAATATGTATACTTCTTCTCTTGTCATTATTTCCTAAATAGTACTGCATAACAACTATTTACATAGCTTTTACTATAAAAGTGGAATTGCTGCATCATATGGCAATTCTGTGTTTAATTTTTCAAGGGATCCTCATACTGATTTCCACAGTGGCTGCCCCACTTTATTTTTCCATCAGTGCACTCAAGGTTTTCTTATTCCTCATCCCTTCGTCCCCTCTTGTGCTCACCTCCCCGTTAGTTAGCATCTGCCTCCCAAACTAACTCCACTGTTACTGCCCTCAGAGAGGCAGTATGAGACGGTGCAAAGAACAAAGGCTTTTTGGTCAAATAAATCTAGTTTTGCAGTTTTTTTTTCTTTAGGAAACTCAATATCTCTGCTTCTTTCATAGTAAAAGTCCACATGGCCTTGCAACTGAGATCTCCGCTCCTCATCTCTGGATGTGACCTTGGACCATTTGCTGAGCCTCTCCTCAGCTCAGCCTTGTTATCTCCAAATGGGCCTAATAAGTACTACCAACTTCCTGTGTTACCATAACAATTTATGAGTTAATGGTATTTAAATGCTAAGAATAATATTTGGCATGTAGTTCTAATTAGCTGTCATACTTATTTTTTCACAGGTATAACAGCTGGTATTTTATTTGAAAGAGGATAATTTAGAAGATAAACCAAAAGCAGTCTCTCCAAAGATACTGACTGAAAAAGAAATCCAAGAAATGTTTTGCTGTCTTCCAGTACCATAAGCCACTAGAGCATAAGCTCCATACAGGTCATGTCTGCATGCTTGATTTTTTTTTTTCTATCTTGTCCCTGAGGTTTCAGAACCTGTAACATCCTACCTGCCATAGAGTAGACACTAAATCAAAAGATGTCAAATGAACAAATTCTAAGAGTTAGAACCCTAGGCACCTTACATTTCTTTCCTTAACCCAGAAGTCACATGTCAACATAAACATGCTGACATGCACCTTCAACACCCTCGTCGGTTTCCTCAAACACCTGAACACTTTACACAAGACAGAATGTGCTGTACAACACTTAAAACAGGCTGTTTTTCTTAAAACAGAGATTTCCTCTTGTTGCATCACACAATCAAGCAACCCCTATCATACATCAGCACTGTAAGGGACATAAAAAGAAATACAATCAGTAACTTCTTCTCATAAGAAAATTTAACCTGGTGGGACAGACAAGACTAAGTCCATGGACTAATGGAAAACCATACAAGATGGCAAATTCTGTTTGAGAAGTTTGGAGAGGTTCATGTTCTTACATGGGTCTCTTTTAAAAAGTGGTGCACTGAGTACTTTTTCCCCTCTCTCCCCGCCAGCTTACTGAGGTATGATTCACAAGTATCTTAGTAAGATATTTGAAGTGCACCCTGTGATGATGTGACACATCTATGCACTGCCCAAGGAGTCCGGCCACGTGGCTAATGGGCACGTCATTACATTATCACTGAGCACGTCCTGTGCTGTCCTATGCTCACAATACTCTGCTCTTTCCAGTTTAAAGAAGAAATGGAGCTTTCCAGAAAAACTGAGTTCACAGAGGTTAAGTAACTCCCCAAGTGTCACAGCTAATCATGGAGCTGGAATCTGAACCTACGTGAGGATCATCCTCTTATTCTTTATGATGTTTCCCCACATGAAGGCTGGGTAGGGCCAGGCCTGTTGATTGTGGGTAGGACAGGGAGGCTGGTTAGGGAACAGCATGAGATTTAACCAAAGTAAAGGGCTTGCCTTGAAAAGTAGAGTAGACTCAGGCTGTGCTGATAGGAGTTGTCAGATATTCAACCATCTTAGGTGAAATCTAAATATTTCTTTCTTCTCGCAGCCCTAAGCACTGTAATGTTTGAGACAATAAAATTTGAAGCAGCAGAGCAAACAAGAGTGGGTCATGCAGAGGAGCGAGAGCCCCACTGCTGTTTGCAGCCATGGCCAGGCTGTGTGCACAGATGGAGGGATGGTGTGCACTGGATCTGCAGACTTGAGACGTTCCCTTGTGGCTCCCGGCTTGTCACAGAGCCTGCCAAGATTTCACAGGGAGGTTTTACTGCACCATGACCCCACCCCAACTAATTCTTGGCTCTGATTACAAAACGCAGGCAGTGAAAGGCTAGGCGCCTCTGGGACAGCTACTTAGAACTCCCTTCTTTTTTTTTTTTTTTGAAAGAAAGGGTTTGAGAAAAAGAAGGTAGCATGAAATCCCACACAAGTGTTTCGTCAGCTCTTCCCGCCCAACAAATTCCCTTTGGTTTCATTTTTTTCCTTTTTATTACCCTTTTTGGGTTTATAGTGTCTTCCAAATGGCAAGCATCCCCTTGCTCCTAGGAAGTTCAAACACAAAAGGTAGGCTCCTATTTTCCTAAGAAGACATACTGCTGAAATTTTTGATGTTTCTAATGAAGTGTCCAGACAAGGTTCTAAATCAGCACTTCATTCCTAGTCTGCAGACCTAACTTGGCAAGCCACCCAATAGGCAAGCACTCATTCGTGCATCTGGTCATTTGCTTGTTTCACAAGTATTCGCTGAGCATCTATTATGTGCCAGGCAATGTCTAAGCTCTGGAGGTACAATGATGATATGACTCCTGTTCTTTTGGAACTTGGTTTAATTGGTGGTACAAAGAAACAAAAAGCAATGACATTAGTGCCCTGGAAGGAGAAATTTTCAAAATTATGGCAGCACAGAGAAAGATTCTTATTTCCATGCTGGAGGAGGTGTCAGATTGAAGGATCGTCCTCAATTCTTTACCTCTCCCTGTATCCATACTTTGGACATGGCTTTACCATAGATGCCTCTTGGCTTCAGTCTTGATCAGGTGACTTGC